ATGGTCAATAGGCTCCTTCTTCAGACCTGAGCCCCAGTAGAACCCTGACATTTTTGTAGTGTGAAGGGAATGGGAGGGAGGCTAGTAATTCCTGGGTCCTAAGGACCTACATGTTTTCCTGCATCCTACAGGAATTAATACAAGTATAAAAAAGATATAAAAATAGAAATAAAAACACATGAGAGAATAGCTCTAATGCTTTTGGGTGAATAAATCAATGAGGTAATGAAATAGGTAGATTATTGAATAATCTACCTTTTTCATTACCTCATTGATTTATTCATTATTATTAATATTTATTTTCACCTCCATTGTTCCATTCTATTTATTTTTAGATTTAATTGTCATTTTCTATTTCCCTTCTATCGAATATGCCATTACTTAGATATATGTTATTATATCTATACATACACACTTGTATACTTTTTATACAAGTGTATATGTCATTTTGGAGCAGTGTTGCATGACCACACAATTGTCAGTTAAAGTAATGCAGTGCCGTAACACAAACCTCTTCTGTAACTGCTTCCTGACCGCCCTATAGCAGAAATACTGCTACAGGGTGGCACGGGGTGCGCAAAATCATTATATATATATATATATATATATATATATATATATATATATATATACACATACACACACATACATGATATGTGTTCCCGATGGTGTCAGATTGCCCGTCAGTACACCAGTAAACACATTTAATGATTGATTGGCAGGAACACGCTCATACACAATAAACCTCCATTGCTAGTATAGTGTCTGAACGGATCAATATCTTTGATCAGATCAGTACTATACCAGCGTTCACATTAGTATAGTGTCCCCAGAAACGCAGCACTGGTGGGATAAGCCCCGGCACCTGCCAGCACCTGCGCGTATCCCCCCCTTCTCCCCCAGCAAGTGCAGTGTCAGTAGGTCACTGTCACTTGATACACTGCACAGAATCAGGCCTGATCTCTGTTAGCACTTGCCAGTAAATTTTGATGACTCTCATATGCAGCAGAGTGCCAGTACTAGTGCTGCGCTACCTTTTGGTGAACTGGCGAGCACCAGCAGCCTAGTACAGCCTGGTCTTTCACATACCAGCACTGTAGTATCACTTTGTGACGTCTCATAAGTGCAGTACAAGCAGGTGCGCTGGCAAGCACAAGTATTGTCCCACAACCATCAAGAATTCGCACACAAGTCCATAGAACCCCTAGTATCCTTCTGGATGTGCTTGAATCCCGATAGTCAGCCCACAAATTCTGCAGCACCCGTATTTACCCCATTCACTGCCCAACCCCGGGAATTCAGGTGGAAACAACAAATTTAATTACTACCCTTGATTTTTTTTAAGCTGTTTTTCACGGAAGATCTGTATGCATTGATTGTGGATCAAAGCAATTTATATGCACAACAATTTATCGCCGCCAACGCAAATTCAAACCTTGCCACACCATTACGGTTTCCGAATTTAAATTTTTTTGAGTTTTTTTTTTTTTTTTGTTTTTTTTTTACCTAACTCTCAACATGGGCATTACTAAAAAAATGAATTGCGGTTGTATTAATCCACAGACCCGATTCATCATATCCCGTGTTCTCTGCTGGCATGGCCAGGCATAGATATGAGAGTATAATGTGTTTTATGCATTTCAATGACAGTGCACTGTCATCCTTGAGGTGACCCTGAAATTGACCGACTCCACAAAATTCGGCCCCTCGTAAATCACCTTAACCAAAAATTTGCAGATGTCTATACTCCCCAGCAAAAATTCTGTGTTGATGAGTCCCTCATTAATTTTTCTGGCCACCTTGCATTCAAACAATTTCTCCCCAGTGAGCGTGCCAGATATGGGGTCAAGATGTATAAGACCTGTTGGAGGGCAACAGGCTATACATATAAGTTTCGAATTTACGAGGGAAAAGATAGTCACGTGGAGCCCCCCGGATGCCCAGACTACATGGGTAGTAGTGGCAAGATAGTGTGGGACTTGGTGTCATCCATTTTCCATATGGGGTACCACTTATACATGGACAAATTTTACTCAAGCGTGTTACTATTTAGACATTTGTACAATCTTGGAATTGGCTCATGTGGCACTGTGCGACCTAATGTGTGCCCACCATTAGAAGTGGGTGGATGCAGGGCGGTATATTCTAATGGTGGGCATACCACACACTTTTTCTGGCAGAGATTTCTTTCTCTTTTTTTCATTCAGCCCCCAGGCTGTATACAAAAATAAAAGAACATAGCATAGCATATATACCCAACAAGGACCAGTGACGCATTGGTATATCACTGGACTTTGAATGATTATACCAGAATGATGCCTACAGGTGCAGGCATCATCCTGGTATCATTTTTTCAGCCAGCGATTGGCTTTTATGTAAAAGCAATCATAGTGGCTAATTAGCTGCAGGATTGCTTTTACAAGCAGCGGGAGATGATGCCCCCACTGCCTTCCACAGCCTTCTCGGACAGTCCCATGCCATCGGGGGAACCTGAGAATGCAGCCGTGTTTTCTGCCAGTTGACCATAGAGCTGTTTGGAGGCCAGAATGGTGCCATTAGTCTCTATAGTCTAAGAAAACGGAAGCTACGACCATTTCATCACTTCACTTTCACATGATATAAACAGCGCCATTTGTAAACTGGGAAAGCATCTGATCACACTGATCTTGGTTTGATTAGATAATGTAAGGGCAGAGGAAATATCTAGAGTCTGATAGACCCCAGATTTCTCAAAAAAAGAATATATGACAATGCCCATTAAGGTTATAGGGGATATTTGCATTCCTTGTGATAGCATTAAAAGTGATAAAAAAAAAATGAAAAGGGACAGTGTAAAAATAATTTAAAAAAATCAAAATAACTTAACCGCTTCCATACAGGGCACTTTTACCCCCTTCCTGCCCAGGCCAATTTTCAGGTTTCAGCACTCTCACACTTTGAATGACAATTGCGCGGTCATACAATATTGTACCCAAACTAAAATTTTATCATTTTCTTCACATAACTAGAGCTTTCTTTTGGTGGTATTTAATCACCACTGGGGTATTTATTTTTTGCTAAATTAACAAAAAAAGACCAACAATTTTGAAAAAAAAAAAACATTTTTCTTTGTTTCTGTTATAAAAGTTTGCAAATAAATACTTGTTCTTCATAAATTTAGGCCAAAATGTATTCTACTACATGTCTTTGGTGAAAATAACCCAAATTAGGATGCATTATTTAGTCTGTAGGAAAGTTATAGAGTTCACAAACTATGGTATATATCTGAATATTGATCAATCCTGAAGTACTGACAGCCAATCTAATTTCTTGAGGTCCAAGAATGTCAGAACAGTACAGATATCCCCCAAATGATCCCTTTTTGCAAAGTAGACAGTCCAACGTATTTCATAACAGGCATGGTGAGTTTTTTGAAGTTGTAATTTTTTTGTCATAATTTTTCGGAAATAAAGAAATAAAAAAAAAAATATTTTCACTATTTTTTTTTTTACATGCTGTCACCAAAAAAAATTGATACATTTTAAAAAATTTTTTTTAATCTTTTATTACATTTTTTCTCTTTTTTTTAAGATTTTTTTTTCATATTTCACTATGACCAAAGTAGTATAATGTTACCATAGTAACATTGTACTACTTTGAGGAAGTGATCAGTATTTTTTTTTTTTTTTTTGCTTATAGCAAAGAATTATTTTGCTATAAGCAAGCATTTACCTGAATGAAATCGATTCATTCAGGGGTTTTTTTTTTTTGTGCTTAACTGTGATTTGGCCACAGCTAATCACATGACACAGCTGGGCTGTGATTGGCCCAGGCTGTGCATGTGATCGCTGCAACCGTTCACAGCTAGCCACACTTGTATACAATGGGGGAGGGGCTACATCATCACTCGGGAGGAGCCGCACTACACGATAGACGGCAAGTGTATGACTCAGAGGCCAGCAGAGGATTCTTAATGCGATATTGTGTTTTTCAAACCTGTGCAATGTGAGTTTAATACTTGGATGGTGGGAATAAAAAGTTTTAAAAGGTAAAGCACTATGTCTTCAATTTCTTCTTGCATGCGGAGAAACATAAGGAGAGGATAATTAGGAGGTCTGGGATAACAAAAGGAGTGAGTAATCCCTGAGGGGATAATCAGCCATCAGAGGATATATCTATTACTCCTAAAGGAAGGATCTCCCTATTTAACCAGCAAAAGCCTATATCTAGCAGGTTCCAGGGGAAGTGAACCGAAAGCGTGTATAGCCTAATTGCAGGCATTAAAGGAGGTGAGCGCACATCTTCACTATTTGAAGGATTCACAAAAGTCACTAATTGAAGAAACAACAAGCACCAAGTCACTATATATTTTTTCAATCGATGGGACTATTGATTTGTTGATATTTGGATTTATATTAGTCACTAACTAATGATTTATGAGCATTTGGTTACTTTCATTTATGGGGGATTATTTAAATGTGATTAAGTTGATGGTTATAAGTGGTTTAATTTTTTAATTAAATTAAATGTGGGTATTATGAATTTAAATGAAATTGAGGGTATTAGTAAGTATAATATGTCACTAATTGATGATTAATGAGCACCTGATCACTATTTTCATTTTTAGAGGAGTATTTTATGTGTAATTAATTTGAAATTGATTTGAAGGTGATTAATTAGTTCAAAAACTATTTAAGTAATTTATTTGGTATTTAAACACTTTTTAGTTGTTTGCATCATGAATTTGAATTAATTTAATGGCATTAATTTAATTATTATTTATTAAGGAGCGCAACATATATTTGTAAATATTCTTATACACAGTTGTAGTTATGTGTTTCATGTTTGCGATCCTCTAGAAACTGTCACACCTTTGCCTCGCAAGTTATCCCAATTTATATATGGCTGGATATCTTACTGCCGGAGTCAACCGGCTGGCTGGGTTTCCTGCTGGCAGACTCTCTCTTTATGTAGGGGAACCCAGGAAGGCAGGTTGCTGGACACAGGATCTCCAGGAGCAGGCTGGGAATCAGTTATTGGCCAGTTTAGCTGGACATCAGGGGCTGGTACATCAGGCTGCGCAGCAGACAGAGGCACATCGGGCTGGGCAGCAGGCGGAGCAGCAGGCACCGGGCCATCAGGCGGAGCAGCGGGCACCGGGCCATCAGGCGGAGCAGCGGGCCATCAGGCGGAGCAGTCAAGGTAGCGGGCACCGGGCCATAAGGCGGAGCAGCGGGCACCGCGCCATCAGGTGGAGCAGTGGGCTCCGGACCATCAGGCGGAACAGCAGGCAAGGCAGCAGGCACCGGGCCATCAGGCGGAGCAGCAGACACCGGGCCATCAGGCGGAGCAGCGGGCAAGGCAGCGGGCCATCAGGCGGAGCAGCGGGTACCGGGTCATCTGGCACGACAGCGGGCACCGAGTCATCTGGCAGAACCGCGGGCACTGGGTCACCAAGCTCAACAGCGAGCACCGAGTCATCTGGCACGACAGCGGGCACGAGTCATCTGGCACGACAGCGGGCACTGAGTCATCTGGCACGACAGCGGGCACTGAGTCACCAAGCTCGACAGCGGGCACCAAGTGATCTGGCACGACAGCGGGCACCGAGTCATCTGGCATGACAGCGGGCACTGAGTCATCTGGCACGACAGCGGGCACTGGGTCACCAAGTTCGACAGCGGGCACCGAGTCATCTGGCACGACAGCGGGCACCGAGTCATCTGGCACGACAGTTGGCACCGAGCCATCTAGCAGAAACCGCGGGCACTGGGTCACCAAGCTCGACAGCGGGCACCGAGTCATCTAGCAGAACCGCGGGCACTGGGTCACCAAGCTCGACAGCAGGCACCGAGTCATCTGGCAGGACAGTGGGCACCAAGTCACCAAGCTCAACAGCGGGCACCGAGTCATCTGGCACGACAGCGGGTACTGAGTCATCTGGCACGACAGCGGGCACCGAGTCATCTGGCAGAACCGCGGGCACTGGGTCACCAAGCTCGACAGCGGGCACGAGTCATCTGGCAGGACGGCGGGCACCGAGTCACCAAGCTCGACAGCGGGCACCAAGTCATCTGGCAGGACGGCGGGCACCGAGTCACCAAGCTCGACAGCGGGCACCAAGTCACCTGGCACCAAGTTATCTGGCACGACAGCGGGCACCGAGTCATCTGGCACGACAGCAGGCACCGAGTCATCTAGCAAAACCGTGGGCACTGGGTCACCAAGCTCGACAGCGGGCACCGTGTCATCTGGCACGGCAGCGGGCACCGAGTCATCTGGCACAACAGCGGGTACCGAGTCATCTGGCACAACAGCGGGCACCGAGTCATCTGGCACAACAGCGGGCACTGGGTCACCAAGCTCGACAGCGGGCACCGAATCATCTGGCACGACAGCGGGCACCGAGTCACCAAGCTCAACAGCGGGCACCGAGTCATCTGGCACAACAGCGGGCACTGAGTCATCTGGCATGACAGCGGGCACCGGGTCATCTGGCATGACAGCGGGGCACCGAGTCATCTGGCAGGACAGCGGGCACCGAGCCATCTAGCAGAACCACGGGCACTGGGTCACCAAGCTCGACAGCGGGCACTGAGTCATCTGGCAGAACCGTGGGCACTGGGTTACCAAGCTCGAAAGCGCGCACCGAGTCATCTGGCACGACAGCGGGCACCGAGTTATCTTTCACGACAGCGGGCACCGAGCCATCTGGCAGGACAGCGGGCACCGAGCCATCTAGCAGAATCGCGGGCACTGGGTCACCAAGCTTGACAGCGGGCTCCGAGTCATCTATCAGAACCGCGGGCACTGGGTCACCAAGCTCGACAGAGGGCACCGAGTCATCTGGCAGAACCACGGGCACTGAGTCACCAAGTTCGACAGTGGGCACCGAGTCACCCAGCTCCACAGCGGGCACCGAGTCATCTGGCACGACAGCGGGCACGAGTCATCTGGCACAACAGCGGGCACCGAGTCACCTGGCACAACAGCGAGCACTGGGTCACCAAGCTCGACAGCGGGCACCGAGTCATCTGGCAGGACAGCGGGCACCGAGTCACCAAGCTCAACAGCGGGCACCGAGTCATCTAGCAGAACCACGGGCACTGGGTCATCTGGCACGACAGCGGGCACCGAGTCATCTGGCATGACAGCGGGCACCAAGTCATCTGGCACAACAGCGGGCACCGAGTCATCTGGTACAACAGCAGCGGGCACTGGGTCACCAAGCTCGACAGCGGGCAACGAGTCATCTGGCAGGACAGCGGGCACCGAGTCACCAAGCTGAACAGCGGGCACCGAGTCATCTGGCACAACAGCGGGCACCGAGTCATCTGGCACGACAGCAGGCACCGAGTCATCTGGCAGGACAGCGGGCACCGAGCCATCTAGCAGAACCACGGGCACTGGGTCACCAAGCTCGACAGCGGGCACCGAGTCATCTAGCAGAACCACGGGCACTGGGTCACCAAGCTCGATAGCGTGCACCGAGTCATCTGGCAGAACCGTGGGGCACTGGGTCACCAAGCTCGACAGTGGGCACCGAGTCATCTGGCACGACAGCGGGCACCGAGTTACCTTTCACGACAGCGGGCACCGAGTCATCTGGCACGACAGCAGGCACCGTGGTTCTGCTAGATGACTCGGTGCCCGCTTTCGAGCTTGGTGACCCAGTGCCCGTGGTTCTGCTAGATGGCTCGGTGCCCGCTGTCCTGCCAGATGACTCGGTGCCCGCTGTCGTGCCAGATGACTCAGTGCCCGTCTAGCAGAACCGCGGGCACTGGGTCACCAAGCTCGACAGCGGGCTCCGAGTCATCTATCAGAACCGCGGGCACTGGGTCACCCAAGCTCGACAGCGGGCACCGAGTCATCTGGCAGAACCGCGGGCACTGAGTCACCAAGTTCGACAGTGGGCACCGAGTCACCAAGCTCCACAGCGGGCACCGAGTCATCTGGCACGACAGTGGGCACCGAGTCATCTGGCAGAACCGCGGGCACTGGGTCACCAAGCTTGACAGCGGGCACCGAGTCATCTAGCAGAACCACGGGCACTGGGTCATCTGGCACGACAGCGGGCACCGAGTCATCTGGCATGACAGCAGGCACCAAGTCATCTGGCACAACAGCGGGCACCGAGTCATCTGGTACAACAGCGGGCACTGGGTCACCAAGCTCGACAGCGGGCAACGAGTCATCTGGCAGGACAGCGGGCACCGAGTCACCAAGCTGAACAGCGGGCACCGAGTCATCTGGCACAACAGCGGGCACCGAGTCATCTGGCACGACAGCAGGCACCGAGTCATCTGGCAGGACAGCGGGCACCGAGCCATCTAGCAGAACCACGGGCACTGGGTCACCAAGCTCGACAGCGGGCACCGAGTCATCTAGCAGAACCACGGGCACTGGGTCACCAAGCTCGATAGCGTGCACCGAGTCATCTGGCAGAACCGTGGGCACTGGGTCACCAAGCTCGACAGTGGGCACCGAGTCATCTGGCACGACAGCGGGCACCGAGTTACCTTTCACGACAGCGGGCACCGAGTCATCTGGCACGACAGCAGGCACCGTGGTTCTGCTAGATGACTCGGTGCCCGCTTTCGAGCTTGGTGACCCAGTGCCCGTGGTTCTGCTAGATGGCTCGGTGCCCGCTGTCCTGCCAGATGACTCGGTGCCCGCTGTCGTGCCAGATGACTCAGTGCCCGTCTAGCAGAACCGCGGGCACTGGGTCACCAAGCTCGACAGCGGGCTCCGAGTCATCTATCAGAACCGCGGGCACTGGGTCACCAAGCTCGACAGCGGGCACCGAGTCATCTGGCAGAACCGCGGGCACTGAGTCACCAAGTTCGACAGTGGGCACCGAGTCACCAAGCTCCACAGCGGGCACCGAGTCATCTGGCACGACAGTGGGCACCGAGTCATCTGGCAGAACCGCGGGCACTGGGTCACCAAGCTTGACAGCGGGCACCGAGTCATCTAGCAGAACCACGGGCACTGGGTCACCAAGCTCGACAGAGGGCACCGAGTCATCTGGCACGACAGCGGGCACTGGGTCACCAAGCTCGACAGCGGGCACTGAGTCATCTGGCAGGACAGCGGGCACCGAGTCACCAAGCTGAACAGCGGGCACCGAGTCATCTGGCACGACAGCGGGCACCGAGTCATCTGGCACGACAGCGGGCACCGAGTCATCTAGCAGAACCACGGGCACTGGGTCACCAAGCTCGACAGCGGGCACCGAGTCATCTGGCATGACAGCGGGCACCGAGTTATCTTTCATGACAGCAGGCACCGAGTCATCTGGCACGACAGCGGGCACCGAGCCATCTAGCAGAACCGCGGGCACTGGGTCACCAAGCTCGACAGCGGGCTCCGAGTCATCTAGCAGAACCGCGGGCACTTGGTCACCAAGCTCGACAGCGGGCACCGAGTCATCTGGCAGAACCGCGGGCACTGGGTCACCAAGCTCGACAGTGGGCACCGAGTCATCTGGCACGACAGCGGGCACCGAGTCATCTGGCAGAACCGCGGGCACTGGGTCACCAAGCTCTAGAGTGGGCACCGAGTCATCTGGCAGGACAGCGGGCACTGGGTCACCAAGCTCGACAGCGGGCACTGAGTCATCTGGCAGGACAGCGGGCACCGAGTCACCAAGCTCAACAGCGGGCACCGAGTCATCTGGCACGACAGCGGGCACCGAGTCATCTGGCACGACAGCGGGCACCGAGTCATCTAGCAGAACCACGGGCACTGGGTCACCAAGCTCGACAGCGGGCACCGAGTCATCTGGCACAACAGCGGGCACCGAGTTATCTTTCATGACAGCAGGCATCGAGTCATCTGGCACGACAGCGGGCACCGAGCCATCTAGCAGAACCGCGGGCACTGGGTCACCAAGCTCGACAGCGGGCTCCGAGTCATCTAGCAGAACCGCGGGCACTGGGTCACCAAGCTCGACAGCGGGCACCGAGTCATCTGGCACGACAGCGGGCACCGAGTTATCTTTCATGACAGCAGGCACCGAGTCATCTGGCACGACAGCGGGCACCGACCCATCTAGCAGAACCGCGGGCACTGGGTCACCAAGCTCGACAGCGGGCTCCGAGTCATCTAGCAGAACCGCAGGCACTGGGTCACCAAGCTCGACAGTGGGCACCGAGTCATCTGGCACGACAGCGGGCACCGAGTCATCTGGCAGAACCGCGGGCACCGAGTCATCTGGCAGAACCGCGGGCACTGGGTCACCAAGCTCGACAGCGGGCTCCGAGTCATCTAGCAGAACCGCAGGCACTGGGTCACCAAGCTCGACAGTGGGCACCGAGTCATCTGGCACGACAGCGGGCACCGAGTCATCTGGCAGAACCGCGGGCACCGAGTCATCTGGCAGAACCGCGGGCACTGGGTCACCAAGCTCTAGAGTGGGCACCGAGTCTTCTGGCACACCAGCGGGCACCGAGTCATCTGGCATGACAGCGGGCACCGAGTCATCTGGCAGGACAGCGGGCACTGGGTCACCAAGCTCGACAGCGGGCACTGAGTCATCTGGCAGGACAGCAGGCACCGAGTCACCAAGCTCAACAGCGGGCACCGAGTCATCTGGCACGACAGCGGGCACCGAGTCATCTGGCACGACAGCGGGCACCGAGTCATCTAGCAGAACCACGGGCACTGGGTCACCAAGCTCGACAGCGGGCACCGAGTCATCTGGCACGACAGCGGGCACCGAGTTATCTTTCATGACAGCGGGCACCGAGTCATCTGGCACGAAAGCGGGCACCGAGCCATCTAGCAGAACCGCGGGCACTGGGTCACCAAGCTCGACAGTGGGCTCCGAGTCATCTAGCAGAACCGCGGGCACTGGGTCACCAAGCTCGACAGCGGGCACCGAGTCATCTGGCAGAACCGCGGGCACTGGGTCACCAAGCTCGACAGTGGGCACCGAGTCATCTGGCACGACAGCGGGCACCGAGTCATCTGGCAGAACCGCGGGCACTGGGTCACCAAGCTCGACAGCGGGCTCCGAGTCATCTAGAAGAACCGCGGGCACTGGGTCACCAAGCTTGACAGTGGGCACCGAGTCATCTGGCACGACAGCGGGCACTGAGTCATCTGGCAGAACCATGGGCACTGGGTCACCAAGCTCTAGAGTGGGCACCGAGTCATCTGGCACGACAGCGGGCACCGAGTCATCTGGCACGACAGCGGGCACCGAGTCATCTGGCAGGACAGCGGGCACTGGGTCACCAAGCTCGACAGCGGGCACTGAGTCATCTGGCAGGACAGCGGGCACCGAGTCACCAAGCTCAACAGCGGGCACCGAGTCATCTGGCACGACAGCGGGCACCGAGTCATCTGGCACGACAGCGGGCACCGAGTCATCTAGCAGAACCACGGGCACTGGGTCACCAAGCTCGACAGCGGGCACCGAGTCATCTGGCACGACAGCGGGCACCGAGTTATCTTTCATGACAGCAGGCACCGAGTCATCTGGCACGACAGCGGGCACCGAGCCATCTAGCAGAACCGCGGGCACTGGGTCACCAAGCTCGACAGCAGGCTCCGAGTCATCTAGCAGAACCGCGGGCACTGGGGTCACCAAGCTCGACAGTGGGCACCGAGTCATCTGGCACGACAGCGGGCACCGAGTCATCTGGCAGAACCGCGGGCACTGGGTCACCAAGCTCTAGAGTGGGCACCGAGTCATCTGGCAGGACAGCGGGCACCGAGTCACCAAGCCGGCCCACGGGCACCGAGGCACCAGGCCGGACCACGGGCACTGAGGCACCAGGCCGGACCACAGGCACCGAGGCACCAGGCCGGACCAGGTCATCAGGCTGGATTGGGTCATCAGGCTGGATCACGAACACTGGTTCATCAGGCTGGATCGGATCATCAGGTTGCATCGGGTCGTCAGGCTGATCACGAACACTGGGTCATCAGGCTGGATCGGGTCATCAGGCTGGATCGGGCCATCAGGCCGGATCGGGCCATCAGGCCGGATCACGAACATCGGGTCATCAGGCTGGATCGGGTCATCAGACTGGATTGGGTCATCAGGCTGGCTGGATCGGGTCATCAGGCTGGATCGGGTCATCAGGCCGGATCGGGTCATCAGGCATCAGGGCATCAGGCTGAACAACGGAAGGCGGGTCCTCAGACAGCAGGCTGACTGGTTTGGATACTGGTAGGATGGTACTGGTTGGAAAGAATTTTCGCTTCTTCTTGGGTTTAGTTACTGGAGCACTGTAAGCAAATGCAGGTCTGTAAACGGATGGAGCAGCTGAAGACAGGGAAGAGCCGGAGGATGGAACAAAGGAGGGAGCAGTTGCTACAGAGGACTTCTTTACAGGGTTAAAGGCAGGATAGGTGCAGCGAGTGGGAGCAGGGGACTGACATGTGGTAGCTAGCGGAGTATATTGGGCTGTAACTGGGGGTGCTGTCGGGAATGCAGGAAAAGAGCTTTGAGCAGAGGAATGATGAGAAGCAGGACTGGTTTGTTGCAAGCTGACTGAGGCTGGGTGTAACAAGTCTGACCAGGACTGTAGTATGGTTGAACACAACTCCGCTTACACATAGCCTGTCTGACCAAAGACTGCACTGCGTCTATACACTCCACTAGCACATGTGATGGACAAGCTGCATAATGCTCATGGAAGCAATCTGGATCATCCTCCAACAACCATACCAGTGATTCCACTTGATCTGCACTGAATGGGGGAAAAAAGTCATCCCTGCTTTCAGGGTACTAGCTGAAGCCAACTCCACACAAGCCTGAATTAATGGTCGCACCTCAGAGAACTCTGTGCCCTGATCTACCAGGGAATGCGCGACCCCTATGCATTCTAGCAGCTGATCTCTGGTATACTCCTGCAGAGTCTCATAGGCATATTCTTTGTCATCAAAGACTAGCAGACACAAGTATATAACCTCCTCCGGATGCATCCTTCACAACAATAAGCCAAGATGGCTTCCCTGTGCAGTCACTTCTGGTCAGATCCGGTATGACCAGAAATGTGTGGACTGACACAGGGAAGTAGCAGGCTTCAGGAACACAGGCGTAGTCAGGGCTGGAGAGGTGGAATGGTCAGGCGGGCCGTAAGATACCGTCAGGCACCGCCCGGCGGGATCTCTAGTGACCCACAGAACAGGATTCCCCAGGGCGCGGAGTCTAAGCCCCAGTCTGCCTTTTCACCAGAGCCCCTGATGGTGGGGATGGACTTGGCGCAGGACTGAGACCAGGTCGCGGTCCCTGAGTGCACCCAACTGTGGTAGAGGGGTCCGCCAAGGGTATGTACCGGGGGAAAGCCTGATGTGAAGGGGCTAGCAGGTTTGGACAGTAGTGACTGGATCCGTGCGGGATGGATGGATCGTCTGGGTAGCGTCAGGCGTAATCAGGCAGGCCAGGTCAGCAACATGCAGGCAGTGAGGTACCGGAGGAGCAGGCAGAGAATAGTCAGGGTCACAAGCCGGGTTCAGTAACTCACGGGCAGCGCGGTACAGAGGATCAGGCAGAAGGATGGTCAGGCAAGCCAGGGGTTCAACAGGAGACTTTCAGCAGAGGTCAGGATCAAAGCAGGGTCAGCAACTAGGCAGATAGGCAGGAACACAGGATACCAGGTACAGGGGCTCATGGGAAACATACTACAACAAGGCAATGACTGCAGGTCTGGCCATTCCTTAAATACACCTTCTGCAATCAGCCCCAGGTGTTGGCTGATTGCAGGAGTGAGCTTCTGGCTGCTGAGAGCACCCGCTGGTCAGCCCTGGTACTGCAGCCCACACTGCAGGTGAGTCCCACCACCAGTGCTGAGTCCATTCCTGACACATCCGTTGTATACAACTGTCATGTGACCTGCTGTGATTGGTCACATCAAGTCACATGGTACTGGCAACGGGGCCGGTACACAGATCTGTCATCAGCCGTGTCCGAGGTACACGGCCGGTGACAGATCGCGCTGCTGCGTGGCTCTGCGGGGAGGCAAACTGCGCATGCCTGAAAGGACACCATATGGCGTCCACCCGGAGGGACAAGTTGCTTGCCCGGCCGCCATCTGGCTATAAGCCGGGTGGGAACTGGTTAAAAAAAAAAAAGCACCCTCACCCCCCCCTGAGCATTGACCCTGTGCAGGTACATAGACAGTGGTTGCACCATGCATGTGAGGTGTCACCATGAACGCCAGAACAAGGAAAGTAATTCTAACACTATACCTCCTCTGTAAATTTAAAATGGTAGCTTATAAAGGCTTTTAAAACTTTGCCTATGGATATTAAAAACGTATGCAGTTTGCCGCCATTAAACGGGGCATGCCCAGTTTAAATCATGTCATGTTTGGTATCTATTTACCATCATCTTTTATATGTTACTAAATAATTGGCCAATATATTGTGTTTTTGTGCATTAAAAGTAAAAAATGTGTATTTTTTTTTTTTTAAATTGAGTTTGCAAAATTCGCTGTGCGAGTACTATGGGACATGAAAAATTGCAGCACCCACCAATTTATTCAGTAGGGCAGGGGTGAGCAAACTTTTTGACTTGAGGGCCGCAATGGATTCATATATTGGACCCGGGGGCCGGACCAAGAGTAGATGAATGATGTGTATGTGTCATCCATAGTAAGTATAGTAATATTCCCCCATAGTAAGCATAGTAATTCATCCCCCATAGTAATTCATCCCCCATATAGTAATTCATCCCCCATATAGTAATTCATCACCCATAGTAATTCATCCCCCATATAGTAATTCATCCCCCATATAGTAATTCATCCCCCATAGTAATTCATCCCCATATAGTAATTCATCCCCCATAGTAATTCATCCCCCATAGTAATTCATCCCCCCTATAGTAATTCATCCCCCAAAGTAATTCATCCCCCATAGTAATTCATCCCCCATATAGTAATTCATCCCCCATAGTAATTCATCCCCCATATAGTAATTCATCCCCCATAGTAATTCATCCCCCATATAGTAATTCATCCCCCATATAGTAATTCATCCCCCATATTAATTCATCCCCCATATAGTAATTCATCCCCCCTATAGTAATTCATTCCCCATATTAATTCATCCCCCATATTAAGCCCCCAAGTCCCCCCTGTGTCAATTCACTTACCTTTGCTCCGTGCGTTCCTCTCGCCGTGTTCCCGCGCCGTTCCGGAGTAGCATGAAAATCTGTCTCCTATGAGGATCTGTCCCCCTCGACGTATCTGCGCATGTGCCAGTTTCAGGCATTAGCAGCCGATCGGCGATCTCCGGCACATGCGCAGATACGTCGAGGGGGACAGATCCTCATAGGAGACAGATTTTCATGCTACACCGGTCTTCAGGGCGGACTGTGAGAGGAGCCTAGCGGGAGCCCGGATTAAAAGGTCTGCCGGGCCGTATACGGCCCGCGGGCCGTAGTTTGCCCATTGCTGCACTAGGGTGTTTGCTTTAAAATATATATATATAATTTTTGGGGGTTTTATTTAATTTCCTAGCAAAAAATACAGATTTTTTTCATGTGAGCAAACAGTGTCATCACAAGTTTTTGGATAATGACAAAAAAAAAATAATTTTTTTCCCACAAAATTGTCACTTAAATGATTTATTTTTTATTCCATAAAAGTTTATTGATGAAATACAGAATGATATAAAAGATATGCAAATGAAGCTTAGATAAGACATTTGGCATTGCATATAACGAAAAAGCAAGAAGTCGAGTACAAAAATATGTGCAACATTGATATACTAGGCCACGACAAGGATATGCTTGTAATACTCAGGCGTTATTGTAATGCGATTTGAAAGGTTGCAGCGTCGGACCTCCTATGTGTATAGTTCACAGTGCAGAGCAGTAGAGGGAGGGAGGATAGATGCGGTGCATATGCCGAAGGCAAAGCCATAATCTTACGACGATAGAGGTATCTAAAAGCAAACTTAAATTGTCGTGAGGGCCACTAATGAAAGTAAGGAGAATATGTTTTTTAGCATGCCTAATGTTCTCTTGAAGAGTATATCCAAAATATATCAGAGCATGTGAGAAGAGGGAAAGAAGAGAGAGAAAAAAAAAAATGGGAGCGAGAGGGAGAAGAGGAGAGAAAAGAAGAAAAAAAAGGGGGGGAGAAGGGGGGGGGGGAGGAGGGGAAGGGGAACGCTGGGAAGGGGTAAAGTAAAAAAAGGGGGGGTAACGAGCGAGATTTGCATCATCGTCAATACAGAGGGTCATAAGTGGATGAGGTTATGAATTAAACTATCACCAATGTCAAGCAGTTGGGAATAAAACACTGAGGGGGAGTACGTTGCCTTCCATATGATCAAGTGTAATGGAGTATCACTAGCGGGAGGACTAAATTAAATCAGACAGATTGGTCCATGAGGGATTGGTATGTAGGGGTAATTATGAAGTGAGTCCAGCAGGCCCAGATATGGGAGAATTTAGTAGGGGTGTCAAGTGCAGTTGCAATCAGTTCTTCCATTTCCGCCATTTTACCCACACGGGTCAGCCAGTCACGTATAGAGGGAGGGCGGGTGGAGCCCCATAGAACGGGAAGACAGAGTCTGGCTGCATTGACCATATGCATGGCTAAAGATTTAAAATATTGTCCCCTAGGAAGGGAAGAATGATGGAGAAGGAACTAAGCTGGAGACAGAGGTAAGGGCAAGGTAGTTACAGACACTACAAGCCTATGGACCTCCTGCCAGAATGGTTGAATGCTTGGACAGGACCACCAGATATGGCGAAATGACCCATCTAAAGTCCCACATCTCCAACAACTGTTGGGAAAGAAGGGGTTGAAATGAGAGATTCTCGAAGGGGTTCGGTACCATCTAGAGGCCAGTTTGTAGCCGTTTTCCTGCGTCGAGACGAAAGGGTGATGTTAAGGGCGAAGGACTTGGAGAAGTTGATTTTGAAATTCAACAAGAATCGAAAAAAGTCAAAATCTTACATTAGGTTCGGCAAAGTGGTATGAGGATCAGCAAGGAAGAGGAGGATATTGTCTGC